AGAGAGAGAGAGAGAGAGAGAGAGAGAGAGAGAGAGAGAGCTGGAATAGGGACAGAGACAGAGGGGGAGAAAGAGGGGGGAGAAAGAGGGGGGAGACAGAGGGGAGAGACAGAGGGGGGAGACAGAGGCACAGAAAGACAAACGGAAAGGGATGGCGGATATAATAGAGACAACAGCAATACAGTTTACATCAATATGACGACTGAAAAAATGAGGAAGAGGATGAGAGGGGTAGAGAGAAGGAAACGAGGAAGTGGAAACGCAAATGAAAAATAGTAGCTTACTTTTACTTACGTTGTATTTTTTTTCCGGGCCCGGTTACCATACGGCGTCGAGGAAAGAAGTAAACGTTTTTCTCTTTTCTGTTGTATCACCTGTTTCATGGTTGTAATATGTGAGGCAACGTGGTGGAATCAGGCTCTCGTCAGTTTTTGGGAATGTTGAGTTATTGGTATCATCTTAAAGCTTGTTCAATTGTCTTTATTTGGATGGAAAAAAATATCCATTTATCTTGAATACAAGTCGAGATATTTGTGAATGAAGGAGGTGGCGGGGGGGGGGCACCTATTTTCAGAGGCAAAATTAGTGAGAAAATGGCCACCAAAGATTATTTCTTTCTTTAGATTAAAAGTCCTCGGTAACTGAAAATTTATATTTTTTGTGCCTTTAATCAACGTTTTCCAGAAAAATTCGCACAGAAATGAGTTCTTTATTGTGCATGAAAGGTGTTGAGCAAACAAACAAAAATTTGATAAAATTTGACAAACCTACAGAAAAATGTAGGTTTTTTCATCTTGATTATTTTGACGAGAGCCTAATTCCACCATGCTGCCTCACATAATATGTGAGGCGTGCTGACAAAATGAGTTACTTCTCACAAATGGAGATATTGACCAAAAATCGACACTTGGGTCAAATTTCTAGGTTTGTTATTGATGCAATATTCATAAAGTAGTAAATGGCTTTTGCTATTTCATACTTACAAATTATAAAAACTGCACCTCTAAGCATGATGTATCTATTTCCATAGAGCCCTAATCCGAGAAGTAACTCATTTAGTCAGCACACTCCACATATAATTATTTTTGTCGAATGTTTCTCCGACCCTCTCTTTCCATCTGTTCCTGGGCCTGCCCTTTCTTCTGTAACCATCTGAACTCTGGCTGTTATACTGTCTGGTGGCAGTCTTGACTAATATCAAAAACATTTTATTCGTTATTTATCTATGTAGGCTACTCCTAGCAGGGAGCCCAGCTAAATCGGTCTCTAACAATCTCGTTTCTCGCAGGAATGATGAGAAGGGAAGGGGGGGGGGGCAATTACAGCGAATTATAGGCGATTTCCAGGATGAAAACCATAGATATGGGGTACATAGAAGCGGAACCAATAAATTGGCAGAAAGATATTATTGATCAGCATACAGGAAAAAGAGGCTAAAACAGCACCTGGACATGGATGGCTGGTGCCTCTATAAATAAATCATTGATGGTCAGGTCAGGTCTCGCCCTGTCTTACTTGTGATGTTCAAAGTTTTCTTAGGCATCTAATTCCATCCGTGTATATTTTACTTTGGCGACAAATATTAGTACACTCCTTCAAGTATATTATTGTCTGTATATAATTATATACGGTACCTGTACTTTCGTTTTCTCAGTTATCGGACGTTAAGGAAGGGGGTGCCACTGTGTTTCCCGAGCTCAGCGTCGCCATTTTCCCAGTAAAAGTGAGTGAGTCTGTCTTCTAAAAACGTATTACGATCTTGCTTTAGTAATATATTATGCTGAGAACCTCTCAAACCACCCCCAAAGCGCACACACAGATGCAGCAATATTTTGATAAACAAATAATATATGCATATATTATAGGTATGTGTGTGCGCGTGAGCGTGTGTGAGTGAGTGTGTGTGCGTGTGTGTGTGTGTGTGTGTGTGTGTGTGTGTGTGTGTGTGTGTGTGTATGTGTGCGTGTGTGCGTGCGTGCGTGTACGTGCGTGTGTCTGACAAGTAATATTGGGTCAAAAAGAATGTTTAAAACCACTGCCAGGTATCTAAAGTAAAATTCTAAAGCTTATTACTCTCGTAAGGCATAACACTACTTGTATGTTAATGTATAGTGTGTATGTGTGTGTGTGAGTGTGTGTGTGTGTGTGTGTGTGTGTGTGTGTGTGTGTGTGTGTGTGTGTGTGTGTGTGTGAGTGTGAGTGTGAGTCTATAGATCCACAAATACTACATGTACGCGAACACACACGCATACACGCTCACAAGCATACACACACACACACATACACACTCACACTACACACACACACATACACACACGCATATACTGTAAATATGTAAATATGTGTGGGGGGAGATGGATAGATAGACACACAAAGAGAGAGAGAGAGAGAGAGAGAGAGAGAGAGAGAGGGAGA